TTTTTTTTTAACAAGTTCAACAGAACGGTTTAGGAAATGTTTTTTTTCTTCCTGTTTCTCAGAACTTGCGGTGGGTTCCCAAGCGGCATCTTTGTACTGTATTTTTTCATTTGTTTCATCGGTTCAAGAGAAGTGTGTCTGAAATGAAAGATGCGTTTATAATGATGCGTTTCTCTTGGTCGAGGGCAGGATGGACGAGAAAAAAGTAATTTGATGAATGTCCAAATGTAAATGACCAACATTTTTCTTATCATTCCCCTTATTCGCTCATAACTCTACTCTCTCCTCTGCCCTCCACACTCCTCAGCTGATACATTTATTTACACTTCGTTTTTTACTTTAAATGGAATTCATCCTTGCTGTTTCTTCACAATAACAATGGTACGCCTACATCGAAGCTCTTTCGCCGTTTCTTTTTCAGGCATGGTGGCAGAAGAGTACAATGCCTATTTCTACTCCTTGGTATCGCAAGACACTCAGGAGATGGCCTACTCTACAAAGAGGCAGCGCTTTCTGGTAGACCAGGGATATAGTTTCAAGGTATTTTTTTGTCAATCTTTAAGGTTTTGTTAAAAAAAATTGTTTATTTTATATATGCAAAATGAATACTAGCACCGTACGTGAAAAGAAGACTGGAACATTTACCAAACCATCTCGCAATTCAAAATTGGGGAAAACACGTAGACTGTGAGGGTAACTTTTGTGCTCTATTTCTAAGAGAATAGTATTCAGTTTTACACATCATTTAGTGTCACTGAGCCTTTCATTCAGTATCCTACATCATGATATGCATTTATGTACTCTAACACTCTCTTAGCGTTTCAGGAATTCGCTTGTCAAAGCTTGTTTTCAGAGTACCGTGTCCAGTCCTTTTGGTTGTCATCCTCATCATATAAACTTATATAGTGCCTTTGAAAGTATCCACTCAAAGCGTTTAACAGGAAAAGTAAAATGAAGCAGTTGAAACAAATGAAAACCGTAACAAAGACAGGAGATGACAGAATTTGCACAGAGAAACACAAGGGATTAGAAATGTAGTAGAAGGGGCACAGATACCAATTACATAAAAACCTTTCTGAAGGTTTTGAGTCTGGATTTGAATGCGCTCAGGGTAGGTGATTCTCTTCTATCCTTGGTGATAGAATTCCAGAGCTTTTGTGGCATAAAAAAGGCACAATCACCCAGCAAAAGTTGCAAGGTGGAGAGTAGGAAGATAAAAAGTCAGTAGGGTCCTGAGGTGCCAAGCCATTTAGAGCCTTTGTATAGAGAGCGTTAAGGGTGAGCATCAAAATTTTGAAGTCGACACAGAAGAATGACATTTTTACAATATTTTGCTCATGTGGGTCAGAGGTCAAGCCTGGATCAAATATCCCCCCCCCCCCCCCAAAAGGCTTCAATTTAGATTGAAATCCAAGTGGAGAGCCATCCACATCCACAGATAGTTGTTCTGACACCGGCCCCTGAGGTTTCTAATAAGGTCTTTTCTCATGTAGGTGATCACACGTCTGGCCGGGATGGAGGAGGAGGACTTGATGTTCTCTGCCCGGGAAGAACAGCATCAGCTTCTGCAGAAGGTCTTGGCTGCTTCTGACCTGGACGCTGAGGAGGAGGTGGTGCAGGGAGAGATGGGTGGCCGAATTCAGGTACGTGTAGCAGGCCATCTTTAGAAAAAGGTGACCTGTGTGCAGGAGATTCCTTTAAAATTTCCTTTGATGGTTTTTCCCCCAAATATTGCCTTAAGACTAGAATGTTTAATTCTAAGGCCTAAAGGATTAGAGCAGGTCATTAACAGTTCCATTTTTAAGAGATGATATTGCCGTTGGGTGGCGCAGTGTTCAACACTGCTGCCTGGTAGCACTGGGGCTGTGGGTTCTGTTCCGAACCATTTCTGCCCCTTCATGGTCCGGTGTCCCGTTCGGGGTGTACCCCACCATGCACCTTGCTTACCGGGATAGGCTCCAGCTCCCCCCGCAACCCGACAGAGGCCGCTCGAAAAATGGATGGATGGATTTTACAGTAAAAAGGAAATGTGCTGAGGTGATCGTCAAAGTTAAGATTTTTCTCAACATTGTCTGCATGGCAATAAAACAGTGCTTTAACTTGGAAATGTGCAAACTCGTAGATTTCTAGACTTCCGGAAATTTGAACGGGGTTTTTAAAATCTGAAAAAAAATAAATGACATGAGCTACACCCCATGGGTGCCTGACTTACATGGAAAGGGGGGTGGAGGTCAAAGGTAATGAAAATGTACTGGCCATAGAATAGTATTTTCTTTCTCCTAACTTCTAGGGAAAATTGACTTTTATTTTTTAAAATATTTTCATGGCACAGTAGTGCAGTAGTTAAGATAAGATCACTTTATGAGCCATATACAATTTGCATTAGGACTTTGTCTTTTCGCATACACCAGCTCGCTCTCTATGAGACACACAGGCAGGGAGAGAGTAGTTTGGGGTCAGAGCGGTCAGAGCGGTCGGCCATTTATACAGCGCCCATGAAGCAGCTGGGGCCTTGCTCAGGGGCCCAACGGAGTAGGATTCCTCTGCCGGCTGCGGGATTTGAACCGGGAACCTTCCAGCCACAGGCGCAGATCCTTAGCCACAGAGCCACCGCTCCGCCCACTGCTGGTTAGCACTGCTGTCTCACAGCGCAAATAATTTTTAACCCAGGTCAAACTAAAGGGTGTGGCTCATTATGGGTGTGAGCAGATAGTCGTTGTATGGCACTATGTTTGCTTATTTAATCTTTGAATACCAACAGCTTAGGCATCCAATTCATTTTTCTGCTTACTGATGATGATGATGATATATATATATACGCTGTAAATATGGATACATTTCTGAGGAAAAGAGGCCTTGAAGAAACTACCTTTGTTCTGAATGCTGCTGAATTAGCAAAAGCTTAAAAAATACCCCAAGTTTGTCAAGAGGCAGTACTAACAACTACTTGTTAGCAGCAGTCCTGGAGGGGGCAGATAAATCCGACAGCCAGCCTATTCTCAGGGAGAGAGAAAGAACAGGGCTGACTGAGCAGAATCATGTTGCA